GGAATTTGTGCGGAAACACACCCTGGAACCAAGATTTGACGGACCATTCCAAGTTCTACTGATCACCTCCACCTCCGTCAAGTTGGCTGGGAAAAGCAACTGGATACACGCCTCCCATTGCAAAAAGGTTCCTGTCCCAGAGGAAGCAGACTCCTCACAACCATGTGCCTCTGGTACATTATCTCCTTAGTTGGCCTCCTTAAAGCCCAGCAGGTGGCCATCACCAAAGATGCTAGTGGGTACACTTTCTGGTATAATTCATCATGTACCCATGTGGCTACATTCACTTTTGATTACTGTGATATTGTAGAATGCCCATTCCCTAAGTCACAGATTCAAGCCATTTATAAAGATTCTTTATAATTGGGCAGACTAGATGGGCCGAATGGTTCTTATCTGCCGTCACATTCTATGTTTCTATGTTTCTAAGATATACCATGTAACGGATCGCCTGGCACCCCGACTGGGTACCTCCGTTGAAGGATGCTCCTAGCGCTTCCTAAGGACTCCAAGCACTCTGGCAGACACCACAATCACCGAACCGGAGAAACAAATAAATTCTCCCAAGCATATGAATGCTGTAGACAGTTGAATAGGAACCATACGAATAGGTTTACTCTCCTAGCAGTCAAACTGGAACAGCATACAATAAATCCTTCCCCCAATAATGAGACGACACTTCACTTTGAGGGTTAAGCAGGAACTCTCTGTAATGGCCACACACTGGCTTTATGCAAGTCCCCATGCAAGGGGACATCCCACAGGGTGGGACACAGTACAACCAATCGTTACAGGGGAACCATAAAACACACCCACATTTACATCACAATCCCTCCTCTCTGTCCAGGAGATAACTGTGAAGTAATCCAATTATCTCCCAGGACAGAGGCAAGACTCCATTAACCACATAGCAGTAACAATACAATAAAAGACATAAAATTACATACAGTTACATTTATTCCATAAAACATAGACATTCTACATATCCCCAGACAGCTTAGATCTGAGTGCACATTACTACCGAATGGCGCTCAGATCACATAAATACAGTTCAATCGCCATGGAGCCAAAGTCTTTCATACAGTCTTTCAGTATACGGCTGGGCTCCATGGTATAGCTATCTGGGGTAGCATGGCTTTAACAGTCTACAGAAAGGCATGAATACGCTTTGCAGGGAAAATAAAAGGTTTTAACTGCCGGGCCATAGTCTAAAGGGAGCAGGCGAGCAACCAGGCTCCTCCAGTGGACAATGGCGAGGCTGGTTTCGCCACAGTGTGTTTAGGGAATGTAGTATGTGTTTGCTTACAAGGAATCTAGTGTGTGCATAGGGGATCCAGAGTGTGTATGTCAGGAGTGTAGTGTGTGTGAAGGTGATGCAGTGTGTGTGTAAGGGATCTAGTGTGTGTTTGAAGGACCCAGAGCGTGCATAGCAGCTCTAGTGTGTGTGTGTGTATAGAAGATTCAGAGTGTAACTAGGGATCTAGTGTATGTGTGAAGATGATCCAGAGTTGTGTAAGGGATCTAGTGTATGT